AGGGTAATCGGACTAAGTATAAATCGGACAAAGCTTGTCCGGATTACTCTTAAACCGGACAAGAGGTGACCGACTTAGTTGTAAATCGCTCAAGAATCATGCGATTCAGGGAGTTAGTGAGATTTTGAATTATGTAAATCGGACAAAAGTTTTGAACGGAGATGTAGGAATACGACCAAGGGTTGTGCGGTTTAGTCTTAAATCGCCTAAGGGTTGTGCGGATTAGTTATAAACCGATCAAGTATTGAGCAGTTTAGTTTTAAATCGATCATGTGTTGTCCGGATTGCCTTATACCAGACATGAGTCATGCGATTTAGTCTTAATCGACCAAGGGTTGTTCGGATTAGTAAATCGGACAAAAGGGACAAGTGTTGTCCGGATTGTATATCCGGATAACTTGTTCGGATAACTTATATTTGATAATTTTAAGTGTTTAATATTCTAAGACATTTATGTAATTTAAAAATGTTTATTATTGGGCTTAATTATGGATTTATAAAAGGGTATTTTATATCTTTTTAAATAAAAAGATATGTTCCTACCAAGTATGGTGACGTAAGTCTGTTTTGGTATGGAATTGGATTTCGGAAAATGTTTCTACCAAGCGTGGTGACGTAAGTCTGTTTGGTATGAAACTATATTTTGGGAAACCTTCCTACCAAGCGTGGTGACATAAGTCTGTTTTGGTGTGGAAGAGGATTTTGTAAAACTGTTTCTACCAAGCGTGGTGACGTAAGTCTGTTTTGGTATGAAACTGGTTTTAAGTGGTAGTTCCCCCAGACGTGGTGACTTTTGTCTGTTCTGGCTTGGAACTGGGAATGGGTACTTTCTTACGTGGTGACTTATATATGTTCTGATAAATAGCCCTGTTTTGATGGAGGAATAAGGGTGGCATATCAAGAAGAGGTGTACTTGGAATAAGAGTGGTATTGTCATATGTGGATAATATTATAACTCTTATTATTGTTACTAATTGGATTAATAACTTTGAGTCATCATTTCTTTGTGACCTGATGAATTAAAGATATTATTCCTATTAGAAATAATAATTTAGATGTTATTCAAAAGGGGAAAATAGTTTGTCATAACATGCAAATATTGCCTTAAATCTTTTCTATTAATATTTACAAAGGAATGGTCTAATGATTCAAGAAGTTTTGGTTATAATATTTGTTTCATATTGGGAACGTTGAATCTTTAAGCAGAGGTATTTTATAGAAATGAGGTTCTTGGGTATATCCTATTTTACATGTTATTATGAACTGCAACATTTGTTTGTATTGCAAAATATTTCTAAGCAAAGTTACTTAATCATATTTTGGTGTTCATCACCCTGCATTTGCAAGGAAGAGATTTACTCACTAGACCCTTCTAGTCTAACCCTCATTTTCTGTCTTTAAAATATACAGTGCAGGAATGACGGGGTCCAGGGATAATAAGGGGAAAGGGAAAATGTGATTATTTTCATAACTTGTTATCTGCTTTTGAAGATATGCTTTGATGACTTACTTTTTGAAGATATATGTTGTATTACATATGTTACAAGATTCGTTTTGGAATTTTTCATATGTAGATTTTGTACATATAAGAATCAGTGTACTAGTGGGACCTTATGTTGTAAATTATATATTTCTATGTAATGAAATATGTGTTATATGCAAATGTGGTGTTTGGGGGTGTTATAGAAGTGGTTTCAAAGCCTTAGTTTAAGAGATTTAGGTATTCAAAGCATGATGCCTAGACTTAAACTGTCATTTGCATGTTAAGAGTCCTGGACATAATTAGTATCACTGGGAATAAAATATAATGGGTTAAAGAGGGCAGTATGTAAGGTGAATTCGAATTATAAATGGCCAATGTAATTATGAATTTACACATACATACCTATACTCGGATACCATATTATATTTGGGAATGTGAATACATGATATTTAATACTAAAATATTTGTAGATGTCTAGTCGATCACGAAGGTCAGAGAGAACTGCCCGCTCTGTATCTGAAGAAAGGGAGGAATCTCCCGTTAATCCACCAACCTATGCTTCAAGGAGTAGAGGTCGAGGAAGGGGTAGGGGTAAAGGTCGAGGAAGGAGTCAGATTCCTGAGAGGAGTCAAGCCGAGATTCGCCCTGATCAAGGGAAATCTATTTTTGGGACTGCTCAACAAGAACAGAGGCAACAACCTGAGTTTATAATAAGAGATGTTTTAGCAGAAGAAATAGGGAAACTGAAGGAAACTCTAATATCCATTATGGGATTGCCAGCTAGAATAGAAACTGAGCGAGTTGGAATTAATCCTCCAGCTCCTTCAGCAAGCAGCAATAATCGGGGAGGAGATATAAAGATGTTTCTGACATGTAAACCTCCAACCTTTTCAAAAGAGATAGATCCAGTTAAAGCAATGTGCTGGATAAAAGAGATTGAATCGGTATTTAACACTAGTAGGTGTTCTGAAGAAGATAAGGTTAGATTTGCAGTATCTATGCTCAAATCTAATGCCTTATATTGGTGGGATGTGGAGTCCTCGACACAACCAAATATACTGCAAACAATGTCTTGGAAAGAATTTGTGAGTAAATTTAAAACATTATTCTGTCCTACGACTGCAGTAAGGCAAATGGAAGAGGATTTTCTGAAATTGGAACAAGGGAATAGATCTGTGCGGGATTATACCGAGAAATTTATTGAGTTTTCCCGTTTTGCTGAACATTATGTATCTTCAGAATCCCGAAAGATAGAAAGGTATATTTGGGGTCTGAAACCTTCTATTCGGGAGTTCGTGATTGCT